CCATTGTAATTTTTTCGCAGACATGACCTGTCAGTATGCTGACACTAGAATCCACAGCAAGAAGTAATGTAGCAATATCGGAAGGAAAATTATTCCTCTGTGACATCACCAAATTACCCCCTAGACTTGCTGAATTCCTTATGAACCCTGAAGCAATTTTCTCCATATGTTCTGCGAGTTTCGTAAAAATCAGTTTTACTTCCGAGGTTAATTTCTCTTCATTGTCTTCCTTTAAATTGAAAATGACTTTGGAAATGGACAAAGCTGCTCCAAATTCAATGCCCGAGTTATCTCTTATAACCACTGAAATCTGGGGGATATATCTCAGATCAATATACTTGTCATACTTTTCCGTTTCTTTATAATAACCAGTGCCTGTGTTGCCAACAACTAGCTTAATCCTCTTACCATTTTCAGACACATTGGGATGCAACAAGGTTTGGAGCTCCTCAATAGATGCAGGAGTGTACCATGAGTACAATTCAGAATTCAAAAGCATATCAGACTCGCTTTCCTCTCCGAAGAATTCAGAATAAGTACAATTATGATTCTTTGGATGATAATTTGGTAATCTGCTAACTCTAACTTCCTTCAAATCTTCCTTTCTCCAAAAAGAATTGATCCCCAGATCCTCCATGTCAACATCAGCAGCAAAACTTTTGCAGGCATCAGCTATAGGACGATAACCAGTACAGCGACAAAGATTTCCTGCTATAGCCTTTTCAGCTTCCGAAACTGTCAACTTGGAGAATCCCGGTGAAGGTTCTGGCCGACTTGTTCTTTCAGCATCAACTAGAGCTGAGAATAGCGACATGCACATTCCCGGAGTGCAAAAGCCACATTGAGAAGCATGAAAGCCAGTAAACCTTTGATGGATTGGATGAAAGCCATCTCTAGTATTTCCAAGGCCTTCACTTGTAGTAATTGAACAGCCATTTATACTGCACAGGAGCGTGAGACACGAACTCACAGAAAAATTCTCAATCTGCTTATTTAAAGGGTCATACTTTGACAGCAGAACGACACAAGCACCACAACCACCTGCAATATTCCAAATTTTTAAACAAGATTGTGTGTTCTTTTATTCCAAATTCTAAATTGCCCCAATTTAATGCTCTTACACCAATTCCCAGAGAATTTTACACTTTCTAAACAGCAAAGATTTAAACAATAAAATAAAAAACACTCTTGTATTCTTAATCATTATCAATCCCAAAAAAAAAAAAAAAAGCCTGTGTAAATGAACACAGTCACAGATGCCTCTACCTTCACCGCAGCCAAGCTTGACACTCTTGAAACGGGTACGGGAGCGCAAGAACTCGAGCAAAGTAGTGGAAGGATCAAGATTTGGGAGTTCAAATTTCTCTCCATTTACTGCAAAAACCAGACACTCATTTCTCTTTGCTGGTGTTAAGGTCTCCATTTTTGCTGACCACTGCAAGTTGTGTTGATTGTAGAAAAAAAAAAAACTTGAATGGGATATAATCTAGGAGAATCCAAATCCTAACACCGAGTAAACAAATATAAGTTGCAGCAGTAAAGGTGGAGTAAGTAGAATATAGCAATCATCACATGTTCAATGATGTCATAACGGTGTTACGGACACCTTTTTTAATAAAATAATATTTTTTATCAAATTAATAATTTTTTTTTCTTTTTCAACCATATATTCACAATCGTATCACAAAAAAAATGTATTCTCTCCTAAAAAATGTACATCAAACACACTCCGAATATACTTCGAACAAAATTTATAATTAATAATATATGGTGTCATTTTATGTAACGTGGGTTCAATTACCACTTCTTTTTAATCCATTTTGTTTTCTTGAATACATAAAAATGTCACTGTATATGAAAGTCTTTATGCTAAGTCTAACCTTTCAGATAAAATAAAATGACACTGTATATGAAATTTTGATTGACCTATGATAAAATGCTGATTTGTATAAAAGGAATTGTCACGTACATTTCTTCGTGTTTGCAATTCAAGAAAAACTCTATTTCGAAACGAATAGATAAAGATAAAATCTTGTTTCATGTGTACAGTGGATAAAAGATGCAAAATTCTATTAAATATATGGTTAAAATTAATCGTTAACTTTGACTTAATCTTTTTCAAATTTTCAGCTAAACCAAACATAGACTACCTATTCTTTAAATCATCGCAACATTTTTTCAAGAAAATTACCATAGTTGGCTAAACATCAGGTTAGGGGTAGCCCAATTTCGAAAATAGTTTAAATTTGCATTAATAGCATCATAATATGGTACAGGGTTGAGTTGTAGTCGTTACCAACATGTCTTTTATACCGATTATTTTGTCCTATATATTCCCTACGGCATAATTTGTTGGGTAATGCTACAAGTACAGGAGGTGCTTCACAGGTCCCTTACAGGATTTTGAATTGTGGTGACGTGGCAAGTGAGGGAAGAGAAAAAGAAAAGGCGTGATATTGAAGACTGAAAAGGGTAAAAATTTCAGTTCATTTCTCTTCCATTCTAGCCTAAACTCTCCAGT